CAATCGGTAAGTTTACATTTTTATTTTTTGAGTCGAATATTATTTTAAAATAAAAAAATCAAAGTTAAAATAAGTCTGAATGTATAAACATAATACAACTTCTATGTATAGCATCACAAATTTGTTGTAAATTTTTGCCTAAAAACTTAAAAATACCTCCGTAAGTCTGCTACCGATATATGAGGGCTATATAAAATCGGCGTTGGTATTTGACAAATATTGTTATATATAGCGCAAATTTTATAGAACCTTAATAAATGAGAAGGTATTTTGGTTGAAGGGAATACACACATTGTCGAATGAAATTAGATTCAAAATAAAATAGTGCGATCACCATTCCCATTTTCTAATAAATTTTTCATGAATTCATCAAGTGTTACTATGTTCATGAAAATTTATAAAGCAAAACCACGTTTGCCGAGTCAGCTGGTATATATATAGCAACGCCCTTGGACGGAGCTTATGAATTAAACCTCGCCTTTTGATGGAGCTTAACTCTTTAAACATACTGGTATGTGGTTAGAATGAAAAGAGGAAAATAAGCGAAAAAATCGAAACGATATTTTCAAAGATTTCTACCCTTTTTAACAAACTTTTATGTTTTCGTCGCTTTTTACTTTTCAAATTTAGATTTTTTAATATATCCATTTTCTAAAATTTATTGCTTTGCAACGACGTAATATAAAACAGATGCAAATGCATGTAAATTATGGTGCAAATGTAATTAATTTCTTGTTACCTAGTCTCGATCTTCAGATTAGTGGTAAAATACCTAACTGGAAAATTTTTGTAAAAACTTATGTGACCATAAGTTTAGCAATTTTTGAGATGTATGAAATACTATGTATAAAAATATTGGAGACATAAAAATGATACACCCCATGGACGTATGCAGATATATTGAAAGAACAAAAGTATAAAGTTAAAGTGGCCATTGAGTCAATTTTATGGTGTGAATGAAAATATATCGCCTTGAGGGGAAGTAAAGCCTACTGAATACTGTCGTTAGACTTAAACTTAGAAAATGTCCCAAAAATTCAACATGCCTGAGTCCTAGACTACAGAACGAGTTAATAGAGCTAATTGGAGAATACATCTAGAAGTCTATTGTTGAAAAAGTACATGTGCTGTATTCTTTGTGTTTTAAGCGGATTTTTGACAAGATATCTAAAGAATATTCGACCGTCATAATAAGAACAGTACGGCGCGTATACCATGTCAGGGAATTATAATGGAGTGCAGACCATTATTAAATCAAAATTCTTTCATTTCACTGTTCATTCATTGTTCATTTCACATTTTAAAATTAAATTTAAACGCAGCTTCAAAGATTCGAGAAATTCAGAAAATAGAGGAAAATAGATTTAATTTTGATTTATTTCTAAGTAGTTTCAGTGCCAAGAGTGGTGGTACGCAAATGTATTGGTAAGATGTGAGGTGGTCGAACTCCGAGTATTTTTTTAGAAGTAACATGTTTGTTTGTCTCATGTTTGGACGAACTAATAGAAAATGTGACAAACAGATTTCTGGTAAATAAAAAAATAATTAAAACATTATCGAGAAATATAAAATTTTGATAGAAATGCGATTGTAGTATGTGAGAAAAATGTATTTCCAAATATAAATATATTGTTACAAATATTAATAACGATACCGGTAACCACAGCATCAGCTGTAACGTCGAGTAAAGTAAAGTAGAATTAAATGCAAAGCCCACGCTCTATGTATATGCATAAACCCGTAGAAAATACTGATCATATAACAAATACATTTTTTTACAAATAGAATACCTGATTTGAAATACAGATTATTGTTTTAATATACAAACGATATAATATATACGCAATATATTAATAATAATTGTTTGTATTTTATTTTAAAATGTTTTTATTTGAATTTAAAATTATGTTTACAATTCAGTGGTAACAAAACAAAAATCAAAAGTGGCATAGCTTTAGAAACGAAACATAATGAAAAGAAACAAAAGGAATAGAGACATTCACGTTGTGTGGTTGCCATATTTTCATCACGCCCCCTCAACGTGGATGTATCTTATCTTACATTAATTTATCTTAAATTCATCCGATTCATAAAAAAAATATGTTTAGTTCTAGGTAAGCTCTTAGTAAGAACATCTGCCACCATGTGTTCCGTCGGGCAGTACTGCAAAACAATTTCATTTGCTCCAACAACCTCTCGTATATGATGGTATTTTATATCCACATGTTTACTCCGTCTGTGATGCACGGGGTTAGTCGCCAACTGCTTTGCTCCTTGGTTATCAATATGAAGAGTCACTGGCTCACCATTGGAATCAATTAATTCCATTAAAAGTGGCCGAAGATACACTGCCTCTTTCGCTGCGCAATTATCTGCACACTTTGGTTGATAACCTATCTCATGTGGAGTTGAAACCCTTTTGCAATCACTCATGCCATATTTCTTCAACAAATTCTCAATATAATTTGTTTGGCCAAATTTTATTGCACCAGTCTCGCCGCACCGATCAATTTCAATACCCAAAAAATTGTGTAATGGACCTCTATCTGACACATCAAATTCGCCGCATATTTGCATTTTGACCTCCAACACAATTTGCTTATCAGCACATCCGATATTAATATCGTCCACATACACGACTACCAATATCGAATTATCATTAATTTTCTTCTTATACAGGCAAGGGTCAGCATCAGTCGATTGAAAACCAAATTTCTTCAATACTGCATCCAGTTTGGAGTTCCACTCCCTACTTGACTGTTTCAAGCCATAGGTTGCCATATTAAGGCGTAAAACTTTATTAGGGTGTTTTCCATTCTCAAAGCACTGTGGCTGTTTTATATAAATCTCGTCATGTAAATCACTATTCAGGTACGCAGTTCTTACATCAATTTGATGTAGGTGCATTTTATATTCAACAGTAAGCGCAAATAAAATTCTTATGGTGGAGTACCTGACCACAGGGAAAGCTTTTCCGTATAATTAATTCCGTACTGCTGGCTACAACCCTTTGCCACTAAACGAGCTTTATGGCGTTCAATATTACCTTGTTTGTCTCTTTTCAAAGCATACACCCATTTACACGAGATGGACTTGTGTCCATCAGGCAAATCTGACAATGTCCACGTTTTATTTCTTTCCAAACAATCAATTTCCTTATTCATAGCCGCTAACCATAAGTCCTTTTCGTTACAGCAGATCGCATCTTCTGTAGTTTGTGGAATTTTCATTTCCACCATTACATTAAACTCTTTGCGTGGTCTGCCTGGTTTACTATCCTTGAAAATTTTCGGCCTTCCTCTTGCAATCATTTTTGATTTTTGTTCTACGTTTTCCTGTAGCTCGGCTTGACTATCCTCATCGGCTGTGTTAAATTGATCGTCATCATCTTTTACATTTTCTGCACCAATTTCACCGCTATCAACATGTTCAATCTGTTGTGATTCTGCAACATTTTCAATGTCATCTGTTCTTTCTAAATGCAATGTTAAGTAATCGTCTTTTCCGCAGAATTGTTGTTGGTCATCCGTTTTGTTGTTGTTAAAAATATTCTCATCAAACAATACATCTCTTTGTTCAATTATACGATGTGTTTTGCTGCCATACAGTCTGTATGCCTTCGCCACCATTAAATAGCCGACCATCATCAATTGTTCGCCCTTTGGTTCGAACTTTGACTTCTTCGTTTTGCCCAATGCAACCGCAAACGAACCAAACGAATACATATATGCTGCTGTATTGACAGCTTCTGCTGTACGCCGGCATGAAACATCATCGAACGACCCATCTCAACAATTGTTCTGTTACGCCGTTTTGTTGTGGTGTAGACGGCACAGTTAACTGACGTTGTATACCATGTTGTTGCAGAAATGTTTCAATTTCGCCGTTCACGTACTCCCTGCCGTTATCCGTACGTAACATCACAATATTTTCGTCTTTTTCATTTTCCACTCGTAGTTTAAATTGTTTAAACTTCTCTAGCGCCTCACTCTTCGCCTTCATAAAATAAACGAATATTCTTCTCGACTTGTCGTCGATAAAAGTAATAAAGTATTTAGCGCCTCCCAACGATTGTGTTTTAAACAGATCACACACATCTGAGTGCACCAACTGCAACAGTTTTGTTGAAACGTGATCGCTCTCATTGGGAAATGGTAGAACATGTATCTTTCACATCATACATGTTCTGCATGGTCTGTTATTGTTGTTGACATTTGTTGCCTGCTAATATAATTTGTTCGTTGTGTTGCTCGAACTTACTGAACATAGCTCTATCGTTCTTCATGTGCGTTGTTGCGCCACTACGACGTACCCAACACTTGGTTTAATTTTACTATCTGCCTCTGCTACTGTAGACAATGATTTTTGTTGTCACCATAGACAAAGCTTGTTATTGTTGCTCTTGCTGTTTCTTCTTTTTGTCACATTGGTTGGCAAAATGTCCCGTTACATTACAGATAAAACATTTTCCAGTAAAAGATTTTTTGTTGTTGTAACGTTTTTTTTTCTTTTTTTTGTGTTGAGCGAACGTTAAAAGCTTGACTGCTTGTGGTTGCTTGTTCCACTTCTTCTATTCCCTTTCGTCTTTCTGCTTCTTCTAGGAGTTTTTGTTTGCTGACATATTTTTAATAAAGATATACGATATATTATATTTAGGAAGGAAAAAATAGAATCCTTCGTACGTCCCTGATACACCCGTAGTATTCAAAACGTTAACATGAAATGCCTGTGACTTATTTGGGCATTGACAACTTTTCCAATATCAGACAAAGTAAAAAGTTTATTTATATAAACTTCACCATGAACATAATCTGAAGTAGAGAAACGTGACCGCACCACTATATTGCCAATTTGTTCTAGACATTTGACTATAAACTTAAAAATACTATCACAATTGTTACTTATATTATATTGATATAATTTTTGTAATGCGTATACGGATCAGCTAGTATATAATATAAAGATTTTATTTATGTATGTTAGTTTAATAATATCAATACCTGCCAGCCTTGTAATAGCAGACTCCGGTCTACTGTGCGAAGCCACATTACTGCATCTCCGGCCTCGAAATTCCGAAGCTTCTTACATCGGTAGTGCAAAAATATGCCTAAACATTTCAGAAGTTCCGATGTTGACGCCTAAAATATTTTAAATAGAAAAATATTGTAAGTATTATATATATAAGTTTTTCGAAGATTTATGTTTATTGTCAATTTGCCATTTTTAATCAATTTCCTAATAATCGACTTGTATGTTTTCTTGCTACATCAATGAATTTTGGTACTTATATTATATATAGAAAAATGTTCGGAATCCAAATCCATTTGCGATAAAGTCCTTGCGCAAAGTTTATAAGCGCAAAAATTATAGAAGTTAAATTTTGAGAAACAAATCTTAATTTTTTTCGAACGTTCCCACGCCACTCAAACCCGCCCCTGCCGACCGAGGGGGCCACCTCCCCATAACGTGGAGAGAACGTACAACCCATAGTCCAGACTATGGGGTGTACGCTTTATTTAATTTTTTTTATTGGCCAAAAGATATATGGCTTCCTTCCTTGATATATGGCTTCCTTCGTTAAATATGAATACGGAGATATAGTGATTGTCATGAAAATGTGGTCCATTTACATCATTATTTTATTTATATTAAAATCACCCAAAATTAATTTATAATATATATAAATATATTATATATTTATATTATATTTTACTGTCAATGGTAAACAAATTAAGAGCCTCCTGTTATTAACCTTTTGATATAGAAACCACAAAGAAATATATTTGTAATTAGGCACCATTAGTAATAATGCAAAACCTCTGCGAACTGTGAGAACATTTTAAACAACAAATATTTGATTTTTCAAGATTTAGACCATTCTATTTTCAAAGAATTTTTGTATAACTCACGCGACATTTTTGTTTCTCTCCAGTATCTACATTTCAATTCAATTTATTTTATAAACGAGAACCTAGCCCAAAGGGCCAGGAGCGATTCCAAAAACTTCATTACATGCACTAATCCAAAAGCTTAAAATTAGCAGTATATCACTTAATCATGTCATAAAGAACAATGTCAACGATATCAATTCATAAATTCAAATTAAAACATAAGAAAAAATAAAATATATGAAATTAAGCATAGAATAAATCAGCTATAAATATTTAACAAAATATATACATTAAAATCCAGGAACATTTGCATATTGAAGTAACTTTTTCTTGTAACATTTTAACGAAACACTGAATATTTTAAGAACCTCTAACAATGGGTTCAAACGAGGAAACGGACATTTATAGTCATTATATATATCGTTAGTTAAAATGCAAAAAGGCGTAACTAACAAAAAATTGAAAATTGACTTTGACTTTGTCAACACATGTAGTTTATTAACATTCACAATATTCATTCAAAAACTCAATTTTCAATTTTTTGTTAGTTACGCCTTTTTGCAATTTATCTAACGATATATATATATATATACATGGGCATATATTTAATAGTTTTATAGGGTCATTTGTCATAAGTGTGAACGCTGTTAGCTCAACCAATATAAATAATGAATATTAAATTCGAATAAAGTAATATCTTACTAAGAATTACATATAAATATATATAAACCTATATATATAACAACAGAATCCCGTGGTAAGTGCAGTTAAATAATGTAAGATAATATGTAACGCATGCGTGACAAAATTAACATATGTTTCTATACAGACTCTAATATGAGATTTTTTTTATAATGCTGTTATGTCCGGATCTTGAGATGGCAAACTCAAATAAAACAAAGTTTGTATTCTATCTTCATCGAAAAATGTTGTATCCGACACGCACATGTTATAGCTGCAAAAAACCTTAAAGCTGTAAAAAATCATTTCTATATCCAGCCAATTCGCAGAAATTTCATATCGAAACTGATATACAACTTATCTGCTTCAACCACTAGATATGGGCATCATACAAAATTTAAATCCTTCTATCGCAATGAAGTCGTAATGCAACTCTTAGACAGGATTGAGGATAAAAAGGAACACAAAATTACAATCTTGCACGCGATGAACATTGCTGACAAAGCTTGGAAAAATGTTAGCCAGTCCACGATTCAGAACTCTTATCGAGCTTGTGCTAGACAACGTAATCACGTCGAAACTCTCTGCAGAAAAAAACTGAATTTCTGTTATATACCACAGATTATCTGAATTATATGTTATATACCACAGATACATATGTAATAGTTTTTTTTTTAATTTTGTATACTCTATGAATTAATTTTTTATTTTCATTGAAAATTAATTGATTTTAAGTTGATTTTTTTTTAAATATAAAAAAAACATAAATATAAATATGTATGTATATTCAATATTGAATAAAAACCTCGTAAATTCGTATTTTTTTCTTTCTTCCCCCCGCTAATTCGAAACCCCGCTAATTCGTTTAAAAGGTCGGTCCCTTGACATTACGAATCATCGCGATTTTACTGTATATAAGTTAACAATGAACGACTTGTTTGTCTTTTGGTGAGTTTGATTGACTGACTTCTTTATTAAAATCAAAAACTTATTCTACTAAAACTACTTAAATCATATAAAACCAAAATTGCTGACACAACATTGTTGCCTGTTAGTTTGACAGGGATGTGCTAGAAAGATGTGAAGTAGAGTAATCTGATAATCATAAAAACAAAACACAAACTATAATTAATTGCACATCTCTTTCAAGGTCGCCAACATATTATAAGTTTTGCAAGTTAATCTCATGGATAGATGATAAACTTAAAATTTCGCTGTGGTTGTTAATAATAATAGTGTTCCTGGTTTCCGTTTGACAGTCACATTTTTTCAAAAGTTATGAGGAATGTGCCGTTTATGTTTCTTACATTTTCTTTTGCTTCTTTCACTTCTGCAATAGCGTCATTCACAATGACAATTCTATCATCGATCTCTCCCACCCGGCATGATTTGTTGAGCGCAGGTTGATTCTGGCATCTGTTGACAATAGTTTGAAGATATTGCGTGCTTGTAATCTGTTGCTGAATAAGTCTTTCCTTCACAGTTTTCCACAGTGTTGGTGTCAGTGAATTGAATAATTTTATTACGGTGAGAAACTGGGAATAAAGAAATTTTCTGACATGTTCGCATTGGAATGGGATATTTAATGATAAAATGCAAACAATACTCATTTCGTATTACTTTTACTTTAGGCCAATACATTAGTTCTGATATTGTGAAATCTGTATATTGCTCATTGCTCTGATTTTTATAAACATTTTTAATTAATACTGGTACAAAACTGTTGGGCTTATAATATTGATTTTAGCCAAAGTTGCAGATAGAATTATTTTTTTAAAATTTCAAACAGTTTAACAGTGTCAATTTGTACCTTTCGTTCTGTATTTAAAATTGTGTTTACTGCATTGGCCAACTTTTATATTTGAATCTGTTTTTCGTATTTATTTATATTTGTCTGTTGTTGGAATCTACAAGTTGTTTCTCGACCAATTTGACATCCTCCCAGTCATCAGCATGCGGTGTACCGGCAATAACCTTCAGTGCTGTGCCTATAAGATTGATGCTTCTCGCATGCCGATGATGTACGGTGAGTGTTGTTAAAAGGGTATCAATATGCAATACGTCGCACAGTGGGTTAGAGTAGCATGTTTTCTTGGATCAAATCAATGAAGCTATGTTAGGATAATTTTTCTTTATTTTTCAGTTAATACCATTAACATAAGTTAAAAAATGTTTTCTAAGTATATTTGAGTATAATTTTATTAAGTAATGCCAAATATCAGTGTAGGTATATAGTGCAAGTACAATATGAGAACTTAAACATATTTTATACATCTTAAATTTAATCATCCACATCATCATCCGCATCATCAAAAACTTCTGATAACTGTTCAATATGTAAAAGGGCATTTGACACAATTTCGGGTCCGTGAATAAAAAATTGTGCAAAGTGGTAGGCATATTTTACCAAGGATACCTTTCAACAAAAATCGTCCTGTATTATGTGCATATATTTGAAAATTTTCATTATTAATTTCATGGCCACTGGATACAGTAATAACCAACACGTGCACTTTTTATTAAATTAACATCTATTTTTTTTATTTCGGCAGATTTTTTTAGCGTTTTGGTGCGTTTATTGATTTCTTCAGTTAAAATGTCATCTTGTCATTCATTGTTTGAGCGTTTAAATTCATCATAAGCTTCGACGATTATAAAAAACAACGTTCGAAAAAAGGCTAATCAAAAATCCCTTTTACCCGATTACTTGAAACTGCACAACAAAATCACTATTTGTCAAAACAAAGAATATTATTAAAATAAACAAAAACAAAATATTATTGTAATAAAGAATATTATTAAAGGAAACAAAAATAACAACAATAATATAATTAGAGAAAACTAATTTAAAAAAATAACATGAAAAACAACAAAACACAACATACAACAACAGCACCAGTCGCGAGATCAATGTGACTTTTAGCTAATTTGACTGCCGCAACAATTGTATTAAACAATGAATGGCTACTAAAAGGCACAAAAGGGCAGCGCAAAATTTTGCAATAGAGTTTAAACGCAACCATAGAGTACAGAGTCAGCGACAGTCGTTTACCGTGTGTTTCTTATTGGCAACGGGAAATCGCGACGGCTGACGTTCGCGTCTAGCGGCTTGACGCTAGATTAGATATTATTCATTTTTGCTCAGCGTCATACTCAAATTTGCTCTCAATTGAGTTGCCATATTTTAGGTTAAAATCAACAGTGCTACCAAATTGCAATGATAATTTATATCAAAACATATGGCAGTGCTGTTAAAAAAAAAACCATATTTTCAACGATTGTGGAGGTTTTTTTTACGAATTAATAACGTTTTTTTAACGAATTAATAATAAAATGGAAGAAAAATAATTTTTTCAATAATTTTATCCAAGTTCCTTGACATTATTGTTTATTAAATAACAAATGGATTTTGGTTTGCACAACGTAAAATTTTCTGTAAAAAAATGAGAACAAATAATTAACATTTTGTGCCGCTAACGCTAACTCTTTCGTTTGGTTTTCACGCCGGCGAAAAAGTATGACGCTGACTCGTGACTCTCTGGTTGCGTTTAGACTCATATAAAACAGAT